GTGTGAGGAGAATGAGCATGCCACAGTGCACATGTGGTAGACAGAGGACAACTTGCAGGACTCAGTTCTCTTCTTCCACTATGTTGTTACTGGGGGTCAAATTCAGGTTGTCGGGATTGGTGCCAAGCGCCTTTACCCACTCCATCTCACCAGCCCATCTGGTATATTATTCTAATTGGACAATTACTTTGTGACAGAAGCTGGCTATGCTGGCTACCTATCATCTAGGTAGTTTATAAATTTAGCTCTTCAAACGCATTTTATTATTGGTTTCTTCTACAAACACTGGCACCAACTTTTGTTTTTTGAAACAAGGTCTCACTGTGCAACCCAGGCTGGCCTTGAACTTGAGGCTATCCACCCACTCAGCCTCTCAAGTGGTGGGATTACAGGTATGACGTACCACCTCCAGCTCTGATAACAACTCTTGAAGATAGACTTCTTGGGAAGCAGATGCTGAGACAAAACTTGGGGTGACAGTGTAGGAGATTCAGGCCTGCTGGTGGACGATGAAATGACTGAAGGCAATGGACCAAACTCTCAGGTGAAGAAAGGTGAGTTTAATTCTAAGAGTGGCTCTTTATACCTAATGAGCAGGGTCGGCCAAGGATACAGCGTGCAAAACATAAACCAAGCAAAGTTCAAAGTAAAGGGTGTTTTTTTCTGTTACCAACCAAACTTTCCCAGAGCTCCAGTCCATCAGAATGGAAAACACAAGCCCATCCACTATCATTCTTTCTAGCCAAAGGCAGTATTCTGCCCTTGACTCTGGGAGGTGGTGTTCTACCAATGTCCAAACATTCTCTTGTTTTCAATAGACAACTGGACTCTGTTGTCTTTGATTCACCTTCTGCAGAACTGAGCTCCATCATGATAGGTTGAAACAGAGAGGAAGGAGGACTAGCAAGAGGAAGAATTCAAATTCTAATACAAACTTTTAGCCAACTCAGCCACAAGCTTTGGTTTCTCACCCACTGCAAGCTTCCCCAGAAATGGCAAAGATGCTATCTGTACCTGATATTGCCCTGACAAAACTACAACTGGAACTTGCCAGGGGATGGGAGGGTGGGTGTGGTGGCACTTGGGGAGGTAGAGGCAGGCAGATCTCTCTGAATTCAAGGCCAGCCTGACCTACACTGTGAGTCCCAGGCCAGTTGGGGCTACAGTGAGACGCTGTCTAAAAACGAAAATAATCCAAAAAACATACAACTGTATGTTGGAAGTAAATACTTATTTGAAGAGAGATTTGGGTAGTACATCTCTGTATCTCCTACAAGGCGCAAATAGATGTCCAGTGAATACACTTTTCAAGGATAAGATGTTCTCATTCCATTTTTCACTTCTGGGGAAATCTTCACTAACTGAGGATTATTTTTTTTTTTTAACATGGTAAGGAAAAGCATTGCAAAGAATTCTATTTGTCTTTCAATATCCATTTGACTGTTCTTCCTTTATAGACTCCTGGGTTTTAGTTGTCATGTAGCCTCCCAGAATAAAGCTGTGAACTAAATCTTGTGGGTTTTTTTTTCTTTTTTTGACATGGTCTCCCTGTAGCCCCAGCTGTCTTGCAACTCACTATGTAGACCAGGCTGGCCTTGAACTCACAGAGATTCACCTGCCTCTGCCTCCTGAGCGCTGGGATTAAAGGTGTGCGCCACCACACCTGGCCTGTATTTTTAAGTTCTAGCCTTAATTCTTTGGGTATCTATGGACTCGCTCAATTTGGGTCATTGTCTTTTTAGGTTTGTTTTATGTGAAGTAGGCATCTATCGGACTGGAGACATAGCTCAGAAGTTAACGGCAGCGGCTGCTCTTCCATGTGTATGAGAGTTGTGCCTGCATGCACTCGTGTTGTACAGTGCTCAAAGAAGCCAGAAGACGTCATCAGATACCCTGGAGCTGGAGTCACAGATGGTTGTTAGCCACCATGTTGGTACTGGGAACCAAATCCAGGTCCTCTGCAAAAGCAACCAGTGCTCAACAACACATAGTACTCTTGCAGAGGACCTCAGTTTGGTTCCCAGCAACTGCACTGGATGGCTCACAACCACCTGTAACACCAGCTCCCACAACCTCTTCTGGACTTAGATGTGCACATACCCACAGATATATACACATTTTAAAAATAAATCTTTTTAAAAAAGGAATATAATTGCTTTTATCTTTTTTTCTTATAAACCATGCAACCACTCAATAGAGCTTGCTGGCTTCACTCAAACTATATCCTGAATTCTACCAGTTCCTTTTGTTTTGTTGGTGGTTTTTGAGACAGGGTCTTGCTATGTATTCCTGGCTGGCTGGGTACTATGTAGCTTAGGCTGGCAATTCTCCTGGCTCAGATTCCCCAGCACTGGGATTACAGCTGAGCACAATTACACCAGGCATGAACCCACTGCCACCTAATTTCAAGTCACCACAATTTATTCTCTTGCTCATGGAACCAGTCTACTGTAACTTTCTGCTTGTGCCTTCGACTCCCATTCTTTTCCATCACAAGTAGCCACTTTAGACATCCTGCTACTAGCTCAGAACTGCTGGACGAATCTCTGCCAGTTTAATCAAGAGGCCTGCGAGACAGGATAGAAGGTGGGGAAAATTGAGGACAAGGGCAGGGAAAAAGAGCTCCCTAATCTGTCCCCTCAAACGCTGACATGCTAACCTCACTAACCCCCTCTACTGGTTCATCCAGACTGTGTTGTAAGCATCCAGTCCTCACTGCTTTCCACCAAGCTCCTTAAAGCTTCAGGATGTTTGTGTCGCGCTGCTCTCCCCCTTAAGGGACCTTCTTCCCTCCTATTCCTTTCCAGGTACATACCCGGAAGCTGTGTGCTCAAACGTCAACTCAGAGGTCTTTCTAGATTATTTTACCTAAAACACCATACCGGTATCTTTTACCCCGGGCATTTACATGACTTGAAATCAGCTCCACTAGACCATAAAGCTGCTTTGGGGCAAGGAATGCATTTTATTTACGTGGTAACCCTGGCACCTTGAAAACCGCCTAGCAATATAGTAGGAAGCAAGCTTCCTTAATCAGTGTGTACTGAAGTCTCCTTAACTGCAGCACCTGCTGTGTGAGAACACTTTACAAAGTACGGCACACAAAACCAAGACTCGTTTACTGCCTTTGGTACCGGCTCGAGCAGGAACCCCTCGAAGCTCCTGCCGCCAGCTGGGCCTTAAATTCTTTGCACAGCCAAGGGGAGCACGTAGGACGAGAGGCGTGCCGGGGCTCCGAGAGGGACCGCTCCGCAGTTCTGGCTGAGGACCGGATTCCGGACCGCTCCGCAGATCTGGCTGAGGACCGGATTCCGGGCAGCGCTGGTTTTCACAGGACCTCCGGCTGCTGGACCGCGCCTCCGACTCCAAGCAGAAGGCCCTGCGGGCGCCCAGCAGCGAGCGCACCCGTCAGCCATTTTCCCGAACTAATCTCCGGGGTAACCTCGCCCGAGAGCGAACGCAAGAAAGGGAGGCGGACCTGTACCGAGGGCGTCAGCCCAGAAGCCGCACCCTCACTCACCACCTCCGAGGATAAACAAAACGAAAAGCGGAACTCTTAACTGCCGCCCGAGAAAGCGCGCACTCGAGCGCCAATGAGAACTGACGCAGGGGAGCCTCTCCGGAGGGGGGCCGTACGCCGGACGGCGATTCGCTGAGGCGGCGTTGCTTCTGTTTTCGTATTGGCCAGATTTTTCTCCTCTGCCTGTCCAATTGGCTTTTGTCTAGGTAGTTCTGATTGGTTCCTACTGGGAGGCGGTGCGGTAGGGGCAGCGAGGCTTTGGGAATTGTTCATCTTGGATTGGCTCATTTGAGTAGCAGGGCTCCTTCATGAGAAGAGGCCCCGGTTTCCGTCTGTCCCGTCTCCCGACCCGTACAGCAACCCCAGCCCCGTACTCGCGAGCACGAATGTTTAAAAAAAAAAAAAAAAAAAAAAAGAGGGCGTGAGTGAGGCTCAAGCGCGGCAGCCCGGCCTCCTGCGCAGCGCGCGCCTCTGTGAGGACCCGCGCGAGCTGCCCATGCCGGTGCCTGCGCTGTTCAAACTGCAGAACCCGTTAGGACCTGGGAGGAACTACCGTTCCAGCTGATTCAGGAGTCGAGCGTGCCGCCCGAGGGGCGGTCGCGCGGCAGCTCGTGCCGTTCGCGTCTCTGCAGCGTGGAGACGAGAACCGGCACTTTGAGAGGACGCCACCTTCAGCCGCGGTGCTGGCGCGGGCGGGGGCTCACACACGGGGGTCCTGAGACTGAGGAAAACGCGCCAAGTTCCCCTCGGCTGCGGAGCGGGGCTTCTGCGGCTCAGGCGCTCGGCCACCGCTGCTGCGCGCCCGTAGCCTTCCCGGCCGGGCAGCGCCGGGGATGTAGTGGGGCCGCGGCGAGTAGAACGGAGCGGCGGCCCGGCTCCCGCTCCGTAAACGAATGGTCACTCCCCCGCGGGTGGGCATCGGACCAGTTTTCCCTCGGCCGGGCCGGCGACGGCCGGGCTCGCCTGTCGCGCCCGCACTCTGCCCTGCTGGTCTTCCCGGCGGCGGCGCCGCGGACTCATTCACGGCCATGACCGGGTAAGGAGGACCGGGGGCGGGGGCCACCGGCGGGCTAGCCGCTGGGCAGGTGTGGGTGGTGGGGCGGCCGGCAGGCCGGGGGCTCGCTGCGGGGGACGGCTGGCGGGCGAGGCGATCCCCGGCCGGTGCAGCCGCCCGTGCCTTCCGGAACCGTGGGAGAAAGGTTTGCGCCCGCCGAGCCTCGCGTCGTGATTGCGAAATTTTACCGCGCGTTTTCTTGACTTACAGTTTTCCCGTAAGTGTGCAGGACGCCACGTGTCTTAAGCCTTTGCCCGAGAGGTTATTGTTATGTTTTTCTTGAAAAATAGGAGTTGAATCCTGTCACCTTGCAAAGATTTGGAAACTAAGGGGACAGAGTTCACGCTGTCATTTGGTGAAGAACGTTGAACGTTAACTTGTTTTCGGGGGAGCTGGATTTCTAGTTGAAACGTTTTTGACCTAACAGCCCCCTTGTACGAGGAACTGCTGAAGCGTAGAATAGGGCACCTGGCGGGGTCGCCCTGAGGAGGCTGCGGGGGTCGGAACCGGTTAATTGGTTGAGGACGGGCCGCTATTTTCAGCTGCTTGATCAGTCTTTTCCTTGTATTCATTGGCTCAGGAACCTTTCGTGAGAGTCATTAATGCTTGGAGATCTCTGACAATTTAGCGAAGACGCGTTTATCATTCATAACTGGGCTTTTCCTCAGGATCATTATCGCGGCCAGGAGACAGCATTGAGTTGGAGTTAGGATGGGACTTTGTCACCTATCCGGTTCTTCCTGAGTCGGGAAGAGTGAGATGCTTAGGGCATGGAATTAAATTTGTATTTTGTGTACTACTTACCATTCCCTACCTGCATTTGAAACTCGTTCAGATTTGGGGACTCTAGTAGCCTATTTTTCTTTTTAGATGTCTTAATGAAAAATAGGACTGTTGTGTAAAGTTCCACAAGTGTTACCATATTTTTCATTTTAAAGTCTTACTTGGAAACAGGATAGAAAGCTTGCAAAAGGCAAACTTCTTTTATTCCTATTCAGTGCCGTTTTTAAAGAAACCTATAGTTTAAAAAAGCTTAGAAAACTAGAATATATTGTAAATAGAATATATTGTAATTTTTAGCAGACAAGTTTTTTTCAACCACTATCCCAGCCTTGCATGTGTTTACTGTTTTTCATTCAAGATTTTTGTGCATAACCAAACTCCTTTATCTGTGCCTTTCGTTGTGAATAACACTAAGGTTTTTAAGAAATTTTGTTTCTTTATTCATAACAACTAGAAATGGTCTTGGGAGGACTCTGGTCTTTACACCTATTTTTGTTTCCATTCATCCCTATGTTTCTTATTACCATTTCTTGAATGAATCAATAAATTATGAAAATTCTCTTTTTATGTAAACGTTTTTACAAATTCTTGTCAAATATTTGTTGTGTGCGTTTGTGTGTATACAGAAGTCAGAGGACAACCTGAAAGAATTGGGTTCCTGTGCTAAAACTCAAATTGTCAAGCTTGGCAGCAGGTGTCTTACTCACTGTGCCATCTTGCCAGCCCAGAGTTTTTACTTCTTAATACTATGATTTTACTGTAGGCCTACTAAATAGGTAGTTTGTGAAATGACCCTTAATATATACACACACAAAAGTAATAAAAATTCAGTAGTTTTTTTTTTTTTTTTTTCTTAAAGCATCGTTTGGTTTCATTTAAGCAACAAACCCCAAGTGCCTATTGCCAGGCATTAGATTTTCAAATAGGAAGTTCTAATTTGTACTGTTCTTTTGGTAAATTTATTTTCACTCTTGCTGACTTTTTTGCTGATACCTGATAACTAAGGACTAATGAAACCTTTTTTTGTGATTAACAGATATCATTGATGATTACATCTGCCTTCTATAAGTAAATTCCTGTCAACTCCTTGCAATTTGAAAAGAAAATGCCTGGTGTCATACCTAGTGAAAGTAATGGGCTTTCAAGAGGTAGTCCATCCAAGAAAAACAGACTTTCTTTGAAGTTTTTTCAGAAAAAGGAAACTAAAAGAGCTTTAGATTTCACAGATTCTCAAGAAAATGAAGAAAAAGCTTCCGAATATAGAGGATCTGAGATGTATGTATTTTACTTTAAATATATTTCTGTACTTTATTCTGAATCAACGAAGAGGCATTGAGCTTGGGTTGATAGCTCTGGACTGACCTGACAGTTCACAGAGCCAAAAAAAAAAACCAAAAAACATTACAAGCCTGGTGTGGTAGTACACACCTTTAATGGCTGAAGGGAGGTGGGGGTGGGGTGGGGTGGGGTGTAGGGGTAGGGTTTCTTCTGATTTCTTCTCAAAACGTCATCTGACTGAAATTATTGTACTGTTCAGATTATACCACTTTTGGAAAAAGACTAGCTGTAGGGAACTAGTGTTTCCATTTCAGAAGCCTTTTTATTATACCTTTTCTTCCTTCTATACTTAATAGTGATCAAGTTGTTCCTGCAGCACAGTCCTCGCCTATAAACTGTGAGAAGAGAGAAAACTTGTTACCATTTGTGGGACTGAATAATCTCGGCAATACTTGTTATCTTAATAGTATACTTCAGGTAAAATGACAGTTTTGTTATGTAATAAAACAGTAAGCAAAGAATGATGTAATATGTAATGTTTTGAGAATTTTAGGCTATTGGATGACTTGGTCTATACTATGTTTGCTTTCATTGTAAATAAACCAGAATGGGCTATATTTTAAGTTGTATATTACTAAACTTCTTTTGAGTTGAGAGAAGATAATAAAGGTGAGATAAAAATTGAGTAGATGTTGGTTAAGTAGACTATGCCAGACCTTTTATTTTTCCTGCTTGATTTTCAGTGCTGTGGTGATCTGTATCTGACTCCTTGAAAACTATTTTACTTTGTGTGGCCTTATAATCTTCTTTTCTGTCCTTGTAATCTTCATCTTACTAATATTTGCCTATGTTTAGTGCTAAATGCTAAGGAGGGCAATAGTGGGTTACTGCTGAAGGGTTAGAACAAGTTCTGACAGAAAACGGAATCTAGAGTTTTAGATAATTGGCATTAAAAGTGGTCTACAGAAAGCATACTGTTTTAATGATTTTAGCTATATTGTTCAGTAAACACTTAACAATGTCACTTTTTTTATAGGTATTATATTTTTGCCCTGGTTTTAAATCTGGAGTGAAGCACTTATTTAATATTATTTCAAGGAAGAAAGAAGCACTGAAAGATGAAGCTAATCAGAAAGATAAGGTAAAAAGATAAAAAAGGAAATAATTTAAAAAGCAAAATAAGGGGGGGATTAATTTGCTTAGAAATAAACAGGTAATAGATTAAGGGAGTTCATGAAAGAGTATCACAGCAGATTATTTCTGCTAATTTATGAGAACATTTTTAGTATATTAGATAATTATTTTTCATTCTTGTGAGGTAACTTACAAGAGTATTCATAGCCTCGTACAGAGTGGTTTTTCTGTTTTCTTTCTTGTATCATTCATCATACTTGTTGTTTGTGTATCACAACCACAAATGTATATTCGAGTATTGTGTTATTTTTCCATTGTATTTTCAAATTACCTTTAACTTTCTGGTGTTGGGGATTGAACTTATTGTTCAGTATTGAATGTTGATATTAGTACCGAACAAATGCTCTACCACTAAGCTAGCCTCAATTCAGATAAATACATTTAAAGAAAACTGTTGAGAAAATTACTCTCCATGTAGAAACTGAAAAAAAAAAAACCTCTTAAAACAGTTTATTTGTATACTCAGTAAAATTTGTGCTGTACTGAAATTAAATTTAGAATACCTAGATTGTTTAGTGAAACCAGTCAAGGAAAAGGTACTTATTTGCTTATAAATGAAATTATTTGTGTATTTTTTTCTTGATAGGGAAGCAGCAAGGAAGATCCTTTGGCAAGTTATGAGCTTATATGCAGTTTACAGTCCTTAATAATTTCAGTTGAGCAGCTTCAGGCTAGTTTTCTCTTAAATCCAGAGAAATATACAGATGAACTTGCTACTCAGCCAAGGCGACTGCTTAACACACTCAGGTATAGCCTCTAATACAATTTTACAATTCTAATTTATCTACTTGTTTCTATCTTAAGAGAGTGATAAGTGACTGGGAATAAAGAACAGGAAACTTGAAACTCCAGGTTACTACATAGCCTTTTATAATGCAGAGGCTCTGAAAACTGGAATTTTTTTTTCATAAATTTGGTATAAAATTAATTAGATTTGAATTTGTATTAGTCTATAATCTTTATTCATAGTTACTGCTAATGGAGTATTCATAAATTTTGTCACAAATTAATGTTTAATAATGGAGTACTGGCCCATAATGTTGATAAATATGTGTTTTTACTTAATGTGCCATATGTTTGCCACCCCCTCCCCCCCAAAAAAACCCAGATATATAGTACATGAGCATCATCTGTCACCCAGTCAGTCTCTGGGCATGAAGTTCAAGAATTTAATCAATTAATTGTTGTGGTACCAGGGCCATTACGTGCTAGGAAGGTGTTCTACCACTGAGCTACACCCCACAGTCCCATGTTTCTTTTGAATATGAAAATACCAGAATTCCTAAACACATGTGCTTCTAAGGTTTTCAGTTCAGAAATTGTAGGTCTGTATTCAAAGTGTATTATGTGTAAAAACTTGAGGTTCTACATATTTGTATTATATGTGCTTAGAAATTGAGTTAACTAGATCGTTTTTAAAAATAACTATAAACTTTATAAAATGTCATTGAAACATTTCATAATAAGGTCTTTAAAAAAAAACCTTCAATTCAGTTTTGAAGTACATACAGGTACAGTATATTGGTTTACCTTTGTTCAGAGGCATTGCAGCATGGTGGCCAAGAGCTGGCTTTGGTCCTGGTTTTTGTATCTTAACTAGCTTTGTGACTTTAGGCAAGTTATGTTTTTAACCTGTCAGTATTTATCAATAGTGGTAATAACAGTTATTGTGAAGAATATATATCACATAGATATAAAACATTTTGAATAAAACCTGGCATATGGTAAAACACTTTGACAGTTTTAATATATTTAGAAGATCAGAGTATTGTAATAATAAAAATAGGGTAAAATTTGTTTTTACTTTCAATTGTAAATTTAGGTAAGAGGTTTTAAATTTGAACAAATGTCTTTCACTTTTTAAAATAAATGGAAAGTTTTCTTTCATGTCATACAAACAGATGAAATGGACATTTTTATTTATAGGGAACTCAACCCTATGTATGAAGGATATCTACAGCATGATGCACAGGAAGTGTTACAGTGTATTTTGGGAAACATTCAAGAAACGTGTCAACTCCTAAAAAAAGAAGAAATAAAAAATGTGGCAGAATTATCTACTAAGGTAGAAGAAAAATCACATCAGAAAGAGGAAATGAGTGGAATTAACCACATGGAGATTGACAGTGTGAGGAATTCTGAGGGCTATAAAGAAAAACTCCCAAAAGGGAATGGGAAAAGAAAAAGTGACACTGAATCTGGTAATACAAAGAAAAAAGTTAAGTTGTCTAAGGAATGTCAGTCATTGGAAGAGAACCAGAGACAAACAAGATCAAAAAGAAAAGCTACTGGTGATACATTAGAGATTCCTCCTAAAACAATCCCCAAATGTGTTTCTGAAAATGAGAGTACAAGACCCTCACAGAAGAAATCAAGAGTTAAAATAAATTGGTTAAAGCCTACAACTAAGCAACCCAGCATTCTTTCTAAATTCTGTAGTCTGGGAAAAATAACAACAAACCAAGGATCCAAAGGAAATGAATATGATCTTGAAGAGGACTTGGGGAAGTATGAAAGTGATACCACAACTAATGGTTGTGGACTTGACGCTCCAGAAAATGTTACACCTGTAAATGTTAGTGAAGTTAAGCCCATAAACAAAGGTCAGTATAATTCTTAGACCAACAGGTCTGGGGATATTAATAGCTACAGAATAGAATTTTTTTCTTTAGATGCATGTGCAGTATTTAAGAGTTTTGTTTTGGGGCTGGAGAGATGGCTCAGCACTGGCTGTTCTTGCAGAGGACCTGGGTTCAGTTTTTAGCACCCACATGGCTACTAGCAACTGTTCATAACTCCAGTTCCAGGGGATCCAACACCCTCTTCTGACCTCTGGGTGCATTTATACACATGGAGGCAATACACTAAGATATAAAATAATAAAAAAGCATAAATAAAATATTAAAAGAGGTTTGTTTTGAGAAGGTAACGTAATTTAACACTGAATGTCAGCTGCAGTGTCTAAAGTGTTGTGTGTGTGTGTGTGCA